ACTAACAAGGTGTACCTTAGGGTCACCCACGACTAACAAGGTGTACCTTAGGGTCACCCACGATGTAACATGCTAACAAGGTGTACCTTAGGGTCATCAGTGATGATATGTGATATTGATTATTTATGTGTATTATTTACATGTGACTTATATTTGTTGTGTGTGTGTGTGCTATCTAACCTTTATTTCTGCACCTGAAACTGAGTGAGATGTTTCTCACTCCCTTGTTTTTTTTTTTGTATATGTTTAAATTATGTTGCAGGTGAACAACATCATGAGGATGTTGGTGATGAGGCTTAAGGCTTTAGTTGGGCATGCTCTGATAGGATGTGACATCGGGGCTTAGCTAGCTTAGTCTAATATATTATTATTTTAATAACTTTAGTTTTTTTTTTTTTTTGTAATTTCTAGCAAAGAAATAACGTAAATAAAGTTTGTAATCTTTCTTTTGTAATTGTGAACGTCCTTGATAAAAAACCAAAATATGCATCTTTGTCATATTATTTTATTACATGATTTGAAAGTTATAAATTAATTCCTAACTAGGAGGCACTGCCACCTTTGCTGGAATTAATTCTATATTTTCTTGTATATGACTTCTTAAGTTTTGATACTTACATGTTGGTTTTTTTAATGATTTATAAGTTAAGAATGTGAATCTTCTACCTTATGATAATTGAGACAATTGTTTTATACATGAAAGATGGTATCAAACTATGAAAGGTTTTATTTACTCAAAAAGAAAAAAAATAATATTTTGTTTAAATTTATTGTGTATTAATGTTGGGGTAGAGGGTGTCACATTTAGTGGTATCAGAGAAGGTCGATCTAATTGATCGTGAGTTATGAGTTTACTATGCTTATTTGGTTTACTATGCTTATTTGGTACATGAATGATGGACTGAACTGATTGTGAAACTTGTTGCTATGCTAGTATGATGATTGATTATGTTTATTTATTGTATTATTTTCTTAGACTATGGCTGGTAGAAATGATCGTGCGATTGCTAATGCTCTTCAAGCATTAGCACAAGCTATGAATAATAATAATAGAGCTGAGGTCGCTCCTAACTGGTTGGAGCAATTTCAACGAAATCACCCACCTACCTTTAAAGGAGGATATGACCCAGATGCTGCTATGAATTGGCTAACGAAGATCGAAAAGATCTTCAACGTTATGGATTGTCCCTTCACTCAGAAGGTGAAGTTGGCCACCTTCATGTTGACTGCTGATGCTCACTTTTGGTGGGAAGGAGCACTTCGGAGGATGATTGATGGAGGGGTGCACTTGAATTGGGACAACTTCAAGAAGGTTTTTCTTGAGAAGTATTTCCCTGATGATGTGAGAAGTCGGAAAGAAATGGAATTCCTTGAGCTGAATCAAGGGAACGACACAGTGGCTGTGTATGCTGCCAAATTTGATGCTTTGGTTCGTTATTGTACCCACTACCATGGTGAGGGTGGTGAAAGGGCTAAATGTATAAAATTTGTAAATGGTTTGAGTCCTGAAGTGAAAACTGCAATTAACTATCAGGAGATATATCACTTTTCCACTCTGGTCAATAAGTGCAGCATTTATGATCGTGACAACCGTGATCGTGCTGCTTTCTACAAAGGAGTTGGAGGTCCTATCCGTGCTGTAAGTTCTAGTACTTCGGGTAGGAGTAAGCCTTACTCCGCTCCTACTAGATTTCAAGGGAGTAAAGCTACTGCTAATAAAAGCAAGTCATTTACAAGAGGATCCACTGGGGTGCTACTGGAAGTGTTGGAGGGTTTGTGTCCACTCCTTCAGAAAGATGCGGGAAGTGTGGACGTGTTGGTCATAATCAGTCTAAGTGTCGTGACAAGGAGATTACCTGTTTCAATTGTAGTTGCAAGGGTCACATTAGCACCCAATGTCTTGAACCACGAAGAACACGTGTTATTGGATCGGGTTCACAAATTGAGCGTCCAAAGAATGTAGGGAGAGTATTTACTCTTAGTGGTGTTGAAGCTGCTCGGTCGGAAAATTTGATACAAGGTACTTGTTTCATAGCTGAGACTCCTTTTGTCGTACTATTTGATTCTGGTGCAACTCATTCTTTTATTTCTGTCTCTTGTGTCCAAAAGTTAAATTTTCCTGTGTCTTTGTTAGATTTTGATTTAGTTGTTGAAACCCCTACTAATGGTCCTGTGACTACATCCCTAGTGTGTTTGAAATGTCCTTTGACAGTTTCTGATAAGCAGTTTCTAGTTGACTTAATTTGTTTGCCTCTTAGTCAATTAGATGTAATTCTTGGTATGGATTGGTTATCTTCTCACCATGTCCTTTTAAACTGCTATGAGAAATCTATTTCCTTTGGTGAATGTAAGAGTATGGAATTTCTTAGTGCTGCTGACATTAAAACTTGTTTAAAAGACAATGAAAAAGTGAGTGTACATGATCTTAGCTTCCTTAACACTTGAGACTGATAGTAAGCTAGATGAGATTCCCTTAGTGAGAGAATTTCCAGAAGTATTCCCTAAGGATGTGTCTAGTTTAATAACTTTAGTTTATTTTCTTTTGTAATTTCTAGCAAAGAAATAACGTTTGTAATTGTGAACGTCCTTGATAAAAAACCAAAATTTGCATCTTTGTCATATTATTTTATTACATGATTTGAAAGTTATAAATTAATTCCTAACTAGAAGGCACCGCCACCTTTGCTGGAATTAATTCTATATTTTCTTGTATATGACTTCTTAAGTTTTGATACTTACATGTTGGTTTTTTTAATGATTTATAAGTTAAGAATGTGAATCTTCTACCTTATTATAATTGAGACAATTGTTTTATACATGAAAGATGGTATCAAACTATGAAAGGTTTTATTTACTCAAAAAGAAAAAAAAATATTTTGTTTAAATTTATTGTGTATTAATGTTGGGGTAGAGGGTGTCACACACCGACAATTCTGAAAGATTTGATTGAATGTTATAATGGAGCTGTTGGTGTTGGGTTTCTTTAGGATAAATAATTTATGGGTGGATCAATTTCAAAACGGAGAAGGATTTTTAGGCAACGTTCGTCCTCAAGTTTTTTCCCTCAGTATCAATCTCCTTATTTGCCACAAACACAAAGCCAAGATCATGGGTTTGCGGGGCATTACGGGTACTCATCTCCAAGCTATAGTGGTGGTCGTGCTCCGGAGCAAGGAAAGTGCTCAGATACGAAGTTTTCAAGGATAGGTGATAATTATAAGAGCTTGGACTAGGTAACTATTTTTATGCCCCCTCATTCTTAATGTATGAAATGGCTATAATTCGGATCTTATGTGTGCATCTCATCTGTAGAGACTGTTCCATGGTTTATACTGAATGCATGCAACTTTCCTTGTATTTTTGAATTTAAGCTCTTAGGTTTTAGAAGCAAAAGCCTATTTCAGATCAGGTCTTGGAGGGTCATTTTTAACAAGTTGCAACTAATTTCTCGTTTAATTGTTATCTTGACATTGTCATTGTAAGGATGGTAATGCATGTGCTTGCTAAAATAAATGATTTGATTTCCTTTTGTTGTTTATTTGCTTCTAGTTTTACGTGTGCCTTTTGATTCATGGATGGATCATCATTTTTAGCTAATGTTCATGTCTAGCTATTAATCTCATGATTCTCATTATGTCATTGCTATGTTTGTAAATGTTAGATTATTACTATGCTAAAATCTGGGGATACACCAGTACTCGGTTTAATTTCATGTTTATGTGACATTCTGAAGTAGTTTTTCATATTGGAAGGTAACTGAAACTCTAGCAAGTGCTGGTCTAGAGTCTTGCAATTTCATGTTTATAACCGATCTTAAAAGTTGTCTGATACAACTTTTAAAATCGGTTCTTTTGTAACCGATCTTAAAAGTGTGTTAGGCACTACTTTTAAGATCGGTTACAAAAGAACCGATCTTAAAAGTACTTTTAAGATCGGTTCTTTTGTAACCGATCTTAAAAGTAGTGCCTAACACACTTTTAAGATCGGTTACAAGATAACCGATCTTAAAACTCTGATTTTAAATCCAATTTTTGCACTAGTGAATACATTGATTGGCTGTCAAGTGTTTTATCTCCCTTCTAAATTTTTTGTCTTAATTGCAGGATCCAATAAAAGTATTTAATCAAATAATAGCATGTTGAAATGGGGAACAACCTCCTACAAGTTTCCATGAGGTTAGTTTGAGTATATAAGATGTATGCTAATTCTTAACGAGTCATATTATTTTGTAACATTCTTGCTGCAAATTATGTGGAATTAAGATTAAAAATTTGTAAACAATCATGCTTGATTTCTTAAACCCAAGAACCAGTAATATTGTGGTCTGAATGAATTTATCCCCCACCTATAGCTGCCATTGTTATAGCCAACTTGCCAGCCATGTGAAAGGAGGATGAAAATATGCTTTTATATTTACACAAGCTTATCGGTTTATTTCATTATTTCTTTTTCTTGCTAGCTTGCTTATTCTATTATGATGAACCTCTTGAAGATTTTGAACAAGATGATTTCATGTATTATTGTCAATATTTTCTTTCTTTGCCGCTTAAGCTTTTGTTATGATATTTAATAAAAAGACCTTTTGACCCAATATGGTTGCTATTTTTCCCAAAGGATTTTATGAAAGAAAAGGGTAGCTCACTACCTCATATCGCTTCCACACCTACTCAATCAGATGCTTTATATGCTCCTGACAGTTCTAAGGTAGCTTTGTTTTTTGTGTAATATGTTTTCATACTAGAATAGTTAAAAATGATGGTTAAAACATTGATAATTTCAATAAAATGAATAATTTTGTTCCAATAAAGGAATTAAAATGATTATCTTAGTTTGAAATGTTAATGTGCTTTCCCTGATATTTCTCCATTTGAAAACTTTGTTTATTTTTACCATATTTAGATCATTAATATTATTTATAACTTGATATGATTTATCTCAAATTTAATTTTAATTTTCCCAATTTATATTTTATACAGCGTTGCCAAGCTTGCCCTGGAAAGTGCAAGTGCAATCAGGTGCATCTTTTAGATATGCAGGAAAAGGATCTTCTGGTAGGCATTTGTGCTGTTTGTTTGCACTTAACCTTTGCATTAAAGTTGTTTTAATTAGAAATTAGAAGCTATGAGTTGAGAAGGGGGTAAAACAGTTCAACCAATGGAAGAAAAGATGTTCACAAAATACTGTGTACTTCACTGTGTTTATATGGTCATTTTTGCCTCAATGGAACTTCAATTTATTTCTATTGCATATAGTTGGTTATGTTCAATCATAATTTACTTTCTATAACTCTTCACAAGCAGCACAATAGATATGCAATAAACGAGAGTAATATTTGATGCAATAAAGTTGTTGTAATGATTAAGGAAATATGAAGAGAATTATTTTCCTTTTAATGCCAGGCCGTAGAAATCTGGTTATTTCTTTATTCTGTTCCAAGTAGAACCCAAAGGGTAGTATTGAGATAATTTTGTTACCAAAGTATATATATTTTGGTAAAATGCATATCATAGCTTGCAACAGAGGTCTACTGCATTTATTTAGATAATGTTTTTAAAATTGTGTTTTCTTTTCAGGATCTCAAGGCTTTGAAGTTGAAAATTAAGAAAGAGTTTGAAGAGATGCAGTCACAGTTTCAAGGATTTTTTAATGATATTGGTATAAATAAGAATAACCATTAATTTTGCCAGTTTCTTGTTTTTTAACAACATTGTTGGCAAAATAAGATATAGTTGTTTTTCTTTACTTTGAATGATTGTACCACATCACTTTTTAAGAGGATTTCATGTTGTTTAAGTTAACGAGACAATGATCAATTAATAAGATAATGATCAAATTAAAGAAATATATTGGTGTTTTAAAAGATGAATTTCTTCTGTGTACCTGTTTATTTAAAATGACATTTGCCTCTGAAAACTCTGTTGATAGTATGGCGTTGTGTTGCTTTATGAACTCAGGAAGTCAAATACAGGAGATGACAACTAAAGCTCTTATATAAGTTTCTCTTCGAAGTTCCCATTTATTGAATTTGCAGTTATTTCTACTTGCTACTTCTATTTGGTAAAATGAATTATTTTAGCATTCTTATTTATCTTAATTCTTCTCTCTTGAATAAAATGTTATTGTACTTTTCACTATTTTTCTTGGATTCTTGATAATGGTTGGTTAGTGGGTTTTGAGCTGCTGGGTTGTGGTGATCCCCTTCTGGTTTGTGCTGCCACCTTGCTGGTTTGTGCTGGCACCTTGCTGCTGGGTCATGATTTTTTATTTTTTTTTAAAATGCAATCTACATCGGTTCTCTGGACAACCAATGTAGATTTAAGCATAAATCTACATCTGTTCTCCAGAGAACCGATGTAGATTTATGCTTAAATCTACATCAGTTTTTCAGAACCGATGTAAAAATGTATATATTTTCTACACCGCTCTATTCTACATCGATTTTATAACCGATGTAGATAACTTTAGAGAACCGATGTAGAATATGCATCTTGTAGCAGTGAAGCAGTCAAATTTTGCATTATTGGAGACAAACTCTTTAAGAGAAGGTTCTCGACACCATTGCTTAAATGTATCACCAAGGCACAAGTTTAATATATTATGGAAGGATTACATTGAGGAGTATGCGGCGTGCACATTGGAGGAAGGAGTATGGTAGCTCAGATACTGAGAGTTGGATACTATTGGTCGACCATTCAATATAATTAAGCCAATTATGTTAAAAAGTGTATTTTGTGCCAGCAACAAGATAATTTCATTCATACCACTCTTTAGTCTCTCCATAACATAGTGTCTCACTACCGTTTGTTATGTGGAGAATTGACATATTAGGTCTATTTCCTCTTGCTATGGTTCAATGAAAATTGTTGTTGGTGGCAACCAACTACTTCACCAAGTGGATAGTGGTAGGATTACTTACTCGAGTCTTGGCAAAGAATGTGTAGCATTTCATTTAGAAGAATCTCATCTACCGGTCTAGAGTTCTTAAGACCATTGTGACTAATAATGGTAGTGTAAGATCAAAAAGAAGCTTAGAATATCAAGAGAACAATCTGGAATCTCTCGAGACGATTTAAGTTTTGATGATCACAAAAATTTCTCTAAAAATCTTAGAGTGTTTCTAAAAATTCCTTTTATAAAAAACAAAAACGTTGCTTTAAGTTTTTCAAAAGAAAAAATTTCAAATGAAGTAATAACACATTTTATTTGTAAGAAAAAGCACATTAGACGAAGTATATGATCTAGTGCTAACATTATATTTATTTTTTATTACACTGTCATAATTTCCTTAAGAAAGTATTAATACTTTATTCCTTAACAGATCAAATAAAGAAGGAAACATCAAATTATTTTCTCAGGATAGAAAGAGAAAATCCTGGATTCTTGGATAAGACACTGAAAAAGATTGCTCTAGACCAATTGCTCTACACTAATGCTACCACACTCAAGATAGCTACCTAAGATTAGATAAGGGACATACACATCTCTGATCATCATTTAACGCTTACATTAAATGCATCTATAGTACCCTCTAAAGAATAGACAGACTAAGCAACTCAAGGAAATTTGAACGTTTAAACTTGAACATTGCCACAATGGTCATCTTTCCAAAAGCTAATATAGAAGAGTAAAATCCTCAAACAAATATGACCGACCCTCATAGAAAAAGAGAGTGGCATGAACAAGAAAGATGAGCATGATGTAAACTATGAAGTAAGAGGAAGTGTGAAGAAAAAGAAAAGAAAGCGTTTAGAATAAAGAAAAACTCACACAAAGCAAACTCACGTAGTGAGAAATACAAAGATGATATTCTACAAAGAAGACCTTCATAGCAAATCTTGTATAGAAATCTTTGTAGACTACTTATGCCAAAATTTTATAGCATCACGTCTAGAAGAGATAAAGTTATTTTGTAACTCTTGTCAATTGTATTTGTAAGGGTTACACCTAAAGAGGCTTTTTTAAAATAATACTTAGTGGTTAAACCTAAAGAGACTTGTTTAAAAAAATACTTTAATTTAAGCCTAGAGAGGCTTATTGAAGGAAGACTTGGGTTTTAGCTATTGTTAAGTCATACGAAGCGCATTTGCAATTCCCACCGAGGTTTTGAATATGACAAATATAATACATATTGTTATTGCTAACATGTGTATTATTATTTCAGATAAATAACAATAAGTTCAGCAAAAAAGAAGGACAAGTATGATCAAGCATAATCGAGTTAGACAAGACATCAGACAATGACAAAAGCTAGTATTAAGGCTAAAGTTGGTCCAGGCCTGAGTCAAATACAAGATAAGATGAATCTATCAACTGAAGCCTGAGGAATCAGATGTAATACTGAAACAAGTGTTGTATGAGACTAAGTCAAGCACAGGATGGAAGTTGGCCAAACATCAACATGAAGTGACGAAATCATCATATAGAGCCTAATGAACTAGAAGACGAAGTTATCTCTCTCGTGACCAGACGTAAAGGGTAGTCAAGATCAGATGAAGTATCATATATCCAAGCACAGTTAAAAATGATGAAGCGTGTTTGAAGTCCACTAATCACAATTGAGTGAAATCATACAAGAAACACCAAAGTACATCAAACCGAAATACAGAAAAGAAGAAAATAGGAAAGAATGGAGTTACAAGTCAAAGTTGCGTATTCCAGAGAAAGGACACCTACTTTTCAGAGATAGACAACACCGCAACAACTAAACTGATGAGACAAGTACAAATATGCCTAGATTATGATTGAAATCAGACATTGGAGTAATCAACTACAAAAAAGAATTCACGTATACCAGTAAACATTTAATGCAAGATCAAATGCATTAAATGAAGAGATTCACATAGCCATGAACAAGCTTCCATCTGGAACGACATGAAGCTACGCTCCAACGAGAAAATTTAAATTCAAACAACGGACAGATTTACTAAATGGCTATAAGTATCAAGGCAAAGAAAAAAAAGGAGAACGGAGAAGTAGAGAAAATGTGCAATAAGAAAAAGAAAGCGAAAGAGTCTAAGCTACATTTCTTCTAAAAGAATTTCCTGTATATCTGTGTAAAAACTAATATAGCTTATCTTAGTGAGTGTTGTTAATAGTCTATCCTCTCCACGAGAGTAAACAAACACTTAGTCACTTATTCCTGGGAAACTAAGCTTACACACCTTAGTAAGTGTAGAAACTACCCTATCCTCTCTGTGAAAGTTGCAAACGCACTTAACATCTTTATTTGCTGTAAAGTCTAAAGAGGCTGATAGAAAGAATACTTGTGAACCAAAAGTGGTTGAGAATACTAGCGCTAGTAAGTGAAGCTAGCGGGCCAGAAGGGGTCAAGAATACTTGGAGAACCAGAAGTGGTTAAGAATACTAGCGTCGACAAGTAAAGTTGACGAGCTAAAAGTGGTTGAGAATACTTGTAATCCTTTGTGATTAGTGGAACCCTTCAGTTGAAAGAGACTGGACGTAGCTCAGATTGAGTGAACTTGTATAAACATCTGTGCATATTTTTTTTTTCTCACCATTCACTTTGTTTTCATCCATTCTCTTTTCAACAAACTGTTAGAAGAAAACACAACTGCTGATCTTGTTAAGAAACAACTCTTTTTATTGGATGATAAAAATTTTCATATGGAAAACAAACTCACTCAACTTTTTTCTTGAAATAGATGATCAGTTTCGTTAGATAAATTTTTAATCAGACAAGCCTGCACAAGTTTTTCAACTGTGATTGAACACTCTATTCATTAAAAAATTATCGTTGCAAAGCAACTTTGAAAAATATACCTTTAGAACACGAACACACACATTCAACCCCCTTCTATGTGTATTTTCGCTAACTTTAGTTGGTATCAGAGTTTGACCCCTTGGGTTGAGCATCTAACACTACAGGCTGTGAACCGCCCACCCCTTTTTAGAGGGTCAAAATATGACTACTGGAAACAAAGAATGATTGCATTCTTTGATGCTTGTCATATAGACATGTGGGATGTTGTTGAACAAGGAAACTAGATTCCACTAGATCAAACGGGCAACAAGATACCCAAAGCATAATGTAGTGAAGAGCAAAAGAAAAAATTTATGCTGAACTCCAAAGCACGCAACGCACTCATGTGTGCCTTGTTTGAGGAAGAATACACTAGAGTTCACAGCTTTAGAAGTGCCAAACAAATGTGGGACACCCTAGCTCTAACCTACGAGGCGTCCCTAGAGGTAAAGCATAACAAGCTAAGCTTGTTGGCACGTAAGTATGAACTCTTTGAAATGGAGGAAAGTGAATCCATACAAACTATGTTTGGAAGATTCCAAACCATTTTTAATGAACTCTTCTTTCTAGGTAGAACTTATGATAACTTTGATCACATTGACAAATTACTTCGAAGTTTACCTAGGAAATGGAGACCATAGGTTATTGCTCTGAGAGCGTCCATGAATCTAGAAAAACTCCCCCTGGAGGAACTCATTGGACTGCTTAAGGTCCATGAGTTAGAGCTACAACAAGACGATTGATGGAAAAACATGGGCTAAAGGCCCAACCACTAGAGCTATGGCCAGGAGATTACTTGAAGACTTGTCAACCTCAGAGCTTAATGGGCCCAATGGGCTTGGTGGGCCTAGGGTGCTTCTCACTTGGACTTTACTTGATTAAACACCATGTTTTATAGCACATTCTTAGAATAGGAATTTACTTTGTTTTGGTCTTGTATTTTGACCATAGATTAGGGTTTATGCGCTTTGGGCTTGTATTTGGGCTTCTTGGGCTTTGGTCTTTTGATACCCAATATTGGGCTCATTTTCTTTCTTGTACTTTTTCCTATTCATTGTATTTCTTTGACCAATGTATTTAGGTCATTAGTTTAGGTTTTAAGGGGATTAATAGTTTAATTGAATTAGGGTAAACTAGGTTTAATTTAGGATGCATTTAAGTTGTATTTTGGGTCACATGTTTGGCGCCACCTTGGCTGAACATGTGTGACTCAAAATGCAACCCTAAATGCATA